AATCCTTGGTCTTTTTTCTGTTTCCTTTCTCCTTTTTCTCTGCCCAACTTCTCTTTTCAATTTAAAACCTCAAATCACAAATCTGAATGTTCACGCTGTGTCTGTAATGTGAGGTTAACACATTCTGCAGCTACTGACATTTATAAAGAAATCACAACACCCTTCTCATTGCCTTTGCATTCCCATTCCTTCCCCAGCACCAGATTAAATTCCAAAATAAATTAAATATGCAGAGCACTGCGTGTGTGTGTGTGTGTATTCGTGTGTGGGGTGTGAGAAGGAGAGCAGGTCTATAAATGTGCCTCTGTGTGTATGTAATATAAAGCACAGTTATTTAAGACTGTACTGTATATCTGCGTGTCTATGTGTGTACACACATATATATATATATATGTATACACAGAGGTTCCTTAGCCTCTATTTGGTTTACTTTAAGTTTTGGTGTATTGTGGAACAGTCAGGTTCCAAGCAATTGGTGCCTATGTATATTTAAAATATAAATGTGTGTGTGAGTGTGTGTATTTTTTTTTGGTTCATGCATTCATACTGTTTTAAAACGGGCAGTTTTCAGAGTTCACAACCAGTTTTGATATGCATGTGTGTGTCTGAGCTGCCAGTGTTAAAGTGTGATTATATCAGTGTGTATGTTCATGTATGTGTATCAATGTTCATGCATCATTTGCACACACTTTTCCTCGTATGTGTGTTGACGCCTGTGTGTGTGTCTGGCTGAATGGCTGACCTTTGCTTCCCTGCCCCCAGCCCCAGTGTTATTAATTGCTGTGTAGTGGACAAAAGCCAAACAGATTTGTAACGGCTGAAGGCACCTCGATCTGTGTCGACCCAACCAGCCGCCACAACATACAACCCTCATTAGCCCTCTTCTGCACGCTGCAAGTGTTCTCTGCATGTGTGTGTGTGTGTGTGTGTGTGTTTTTGTTTGACTGAGTGAGATAAAGAAAGAAAAAGAAAGAAAGGGGAAAAAACAATTTTTTTTTATAGTTGTGAAATATAAAACATTGAAATTGCTTTTGAAGATTTAAAATTATCAGTCAGATACACGTCAGACAACTGCCATTCTTCAAGTCGGACTTTAGTGTGAGAGCGACGGAGGTAGCTGCCTATTCAGGGTCCAATGTTATCTTCTGCCTTATAACAACCTAATACAATAGTCTCTTTTGTTTGATATGTAGTGTCAATAAAAAGATGTTATGCTTATTTCTGATCCATTGTAAGTTAGTAAGTTAGCCTGCATTAGTTGGGAAGAATAAATTGGTTTGTTTACTTACTTGAACATCCTGTCAAATGCTGTTAAATAATCTGGCAGTTCAATAAAGTGTTGAGAGTCTATCTGGACAAAAGGAATAAATTGCTGAATGTACTGAAAAGTCAAATCTGATTTGACCAAAACGAACTGTAATTTTAAAGTTTTTCAAGTTTACTTTCAATTACATACTGAGAACGTGGAGAGTATTCTAAAGACTATATTTCTTTAAATTCTGATAGTCATGATATAACGCAGTGCACGCAGACTACAGATTACGTTTGATGGCTGCTGAACTGTTGGACAAGCTAATCAAGCTCACTTGAACTACTCTCAAATAACTGGAATCCTAACTGACATTTTCACCCTGGACTGTTAACTTATTTAAATGGCTAATATAGTACAGCTACATTTCTCACATCTTCCTCAATTATTTACCCCCTGGTTCACAACGGGGTGTCAAGGGCTGATGGGATATCAGAGAATGAGGCATTGTGGGACAGCGGGCCAAACCTGCGGTCGTCCGGTCCAGCACCGGAGCAGCTAATTGGCCAGGTTCTAAATATTTAATGGAGACTTGACCTGATTGGCTGTTTTAATTGCTCCAATTAAATGATTCAATAGCTGGCAGAGAGGGGGTAGTCAGCCAGTCAATTTAGACAGTGACCAGCTCAATGTATTGAGCCTTCAACACCCTCATGACACACAGTTCCCATTTAAGTGACTTACTGATTGATTAACTAATTCACTAAAGTGGTAAAACTAGTGCCACAAAACAACCAGAGTGGAAATGATGCCCAAACTAGGTTTCTAATATTCTATAAGAAAAAAAGATTTTCAATTTCATACATCTTCTATACTTTTCTTCACTGTTTCACTCTCAAAAGTAATTTCCTAAAGAGGCAGTGAGAGCACAGCACCCAGATTATACTTCTACACACATACAAGCACACACACACACACACACACATTGAATATACAAATCCAATCAGACTGAAGGAGTGAACTTGTCTCCACCCAAACTGGATCAGAAAGAAAGAGCAGCAAAAAGAAAGACTGGCGCATAGAAGCGGAGAGTGATCGCAGGGCAGGCATATAGGCAGGCCCGCACTCTCTCCACCACAGCAGCTCTCCTTTCATGAATGTCCTTGAGAGGAACACAAGAGAGGGAGGAATGAAGAGACAGGAAAAATGTAGAAAAGAAAGAGAGACAGCATAGCAAGAGAAGAGAGGAATGGAAAAAAAAAAACCCACTAGCGCTGCTCAGCCTAGCAACACCAAGTCTATAAATTCTCCGTGAGCTTCCCTTTTCCCGCTCTCTTTAGGATAAGTTAAAAGATTTTGCCATGTCGTTGCAACATCACAGGAAGAATTATTTATCTGATTATGGCAGTAATAATTACCCAGCTGTTTACTGCAGATAGAGGAATAATTCATGCAGTCAACAGTCCGTGTTGGTGGCGGCGGCGATGACACCAGCACATTTAGTAAATATGCAAAGCCGGCTCGCTCCTCTTTCCTAATTGCCCCCATCGTCCCACTGAATGCCCTTATTAAAGCCCAGGAACTTTAAGTGTCTCCCTGACAAAGTGATAAATTGTTGGGGTATCAAGGAAAACTGTGGCAGAGTGGGGACTGCGCTGGGGTCCTGACTTCATTAGGCTATGCAGAAGGAGAGAAAGGATGGATGACGATGGACACTGAGACACGGTGAACCGGTGGCGGAGAGGGAGAAAAAGGTATAGAGCAAAAACAGAGGGAGGAGGACGTGAAGAAAGATTGAAGGAGAGAGGTGAGGTGAGGGCAGGGGATAGAAGAAAAGGGTGGTGTAAGTAGCACATATTAGCTGGATGCTGTACCTAATGAAATGACACAGATGGTTTTGTGCGGGGGAGATCTGACACAAGAGAGAAAGGGAAACAGAGAGTCACAGACAGAGAGAGAGGGAGAGATAGAGAGAGTGAGAGTGAGAGAGGTTCAGCAGTCTATGTATTACTCCTATATCATTACCATGCACAGCCGATCAGCCTGCACTAAATGGGAACCATTAGTCCAACTTTGAATAATTTATGCAGCGGGTCGGACAGACAGAGAGACAGAGCGACAGAGGGAGGGAGCATGCTGCTGGATTAAAAAGTGGGCCTTTGCGGGGTGAGTGATCAGGCAGCGTGCGATCCGAGGGCTTAGCGGCTAACACAGAGAGGATGTTTTAAATAAATACCAGCACAGCGTTAATTGATCGTGACCCCAGCCACACTAAATAAACATGTCATTAACTAGAGAAGTGAAGTGACCTCCACACCCCCAAACCGCTATGGAGGAGGGGCGGTGTGCACGAGTGTGTGTAGGATATAAATAT